ATCTCTGACGGGTTCTCCGGCTTTCTGCTTCGCTGCATCCTGCTTCACTGTAACTCTAAAAGCAAGTACAATCCATAATCGAATTCCGCTAATTCATGGATAACCGCGTCCTCTTGGTGTTTGCCGTTGATCAGTCCCTTTGTGGGATGCGGCACGCATTCCTTCCATTCAGAATCGTAGTGGCTTATTGAATGCGATGTGGCCTATACAATGACTTGCGGTGGCCAGCCGATGTACAAGTCAGTGTTTTATCCTCCCAGACGAATCTGGTACCAATTTACCGTCCCGGAGGGTCGAAGGCTTGGCTGGTCAAGGCGGGCCGATCCAGGATTTGACTACCTAATACCGCGCGTGGTAGGCGCCACTTGCTATCTCATCACCTCCGCCCACCCCGTTACCTATGTTTCGCGTCTACAGTTCCCCTACCGTACAAAAACTGTAAAATATTGTAAACAGATCCCATTCCCATTAACCTTTTCATCATTCTCATTGTTTAGATCCCCATTTCCCAGGCTTCCCAACAACCACTCGAAATAAATTCGTCTGCTAGTCCTCATAGAAAGCCGCTTCGCAATATTTTCACAGTACGGGATCTAGAACTGTTCGTCTAAGTCTACGGACAACTTGCACTCAACTTACTTGACTGTGACAGTCTTCTACCTCTCATCTAAATAATCCTCTGACCATAATGCCCTCAAATATTCCAGCTCTCCCGTGGCTCAAACCACCCTGCGGTCCCTACCCTTGAAAAGATTCATACATCACTCGAAGCTTTCGAAGCGCTGTCTTATGCGTCTGCGCTACAGAATTTCGCCACGGGACCATTCGTTTACTAGTATACTAGAACGAGTCCAGAGAGATAAGGAACTCACCTCGCAAATGAATCCATGCGTAACTAGGTCCTGTGTAAGCGCATTCGGATCCTCGTCATGTGAGAATTCTGTAGTAAGCTGTCGATTCATCATGTCTTCCAATTGTAACCATATCGTCAGCTCACTGAATTGATTTACATTTTTGAAGGGAAATTTTCAACATAATAAAATCAGATGCCGCAATTCTTTCGTGCTGTGGTCACACGCATTTGCCGAATCGCTCTTGTTTCACAGTGTTGAACAGTCTCGTCGGTGGCAGGAGGTGATGCAACTACTGGATCTGTTGTCTCTCAAGGAGCGTATCGTGGTAGAGATGTCGTTGTGAGCGACGATGTTGAGGGTTCATGGCCTTCCGTGGCGGTTTGAGCCTGGGACGTACGTGAAGACGGCTGCGTGACCTGCAACAACGGAGAGTTAAAACAGGACAAACTGTGGAGGAAAACGCAATTCTGCTGTTGGCCAACGATCAATAACTCGGCGAAAGAAGCAGCGAAAAGGTTAATCTTGTCACTGTGCTCCCAAGGCTGCGTTCATACTTTGCGGCACCGTCCACCAGGTGTAGAGAATATGGTGAAGTAGGAGAATCTCAGATAGCTAGTGGAGTATGGGCAAGTAGGAGGGAGCAGACAGTTGCACTAGGCGTCGTGAAATTGCGGCGTGTGCAACCGCACTGTACTACTACACACACCGTACATTAAATTGCATAATTCTGTGCTTTAACAGTTGTACGGTGCGACCGCAAATGCCGCATTCACGAAGCCCAATCCAGCTTCCCCATACTGATCAGCTGTCTGCTGCCCTCCTACTTCCCATACTCTCAACTCCTGGACGCTGATGGGTGCTGAGACGCTGCCGTTCCCTAGATGGATATCTATACTTACCTAGTCGCTGACGCTGACGGGCGCTCAAAACGCAGGTGGTCAAGTATGAACGCAGCCTAACATAAGCATGTCCAATCTCCTCCCGTTCTCCACGATTCTCTCGCGACCTCAGCTCTTCCCCCAATATTTAACTAGCGAAGAACCACTCCAATGACTCTGGTGTTCATTTTCTCGAACATTAACTTCTTAGCTGTAGCTCTTACGCTCTTACGGAAACTGGAAACAACACTTACCGTGGTTTTCAGAGGCTGATGAACTAAGGGAGCAAAAGCAGTGAGCGGATAGATTCCGTTTCGTACATCTTCGACAATTTTCTCAAGATCATGCTGGAAGGCAGGAACTTGACAGTAGGCCATTTCCCGTACCCCAGTTTCTCTTCGAGCAACAGCGGCAACCTGTAAAGTAAAAGTAAAACTGAGATTACCACGCGGTTTTGTATAAAACTCCATAACACCGCAGCTAAAGAATTCTATTTGAAAAATAAGATGACTCGAGGAAAACTGACAAACTAACTACTAGCTAGAAGATTACCTTTTCTATATCAGGAACTCTGAAAGCATCCGTAGGCAAATCATCGAACAACTTGGTATCCACGATTTTATGAGCGGCCAAAAGCTTCAGAGAGTGCACCTGGAAACAAAATGCAAATCAGTTTGTTTCATCAGGTACACAGAAGAATTTCGATAAAGAAGCTGGACTACCACAAGCATGCTGAGTTACCAGCACACAGCCCCCTAAACACTAGGTCCAGGTTCGAATCCTGGCCGGGTCCTGTCTTTTGCCCATAGCACAACATTCTAGTGATATTTTCTGGCAAAACTACAGGGGGGGGGGGCAAAAAAAAGTCATTTTGCCTCCATGACTTTCAAGGCGCTATAAGTTACACTTTATTAAATTTTTATCGGACATTAAAGAGCACATTAAATACTATAATGATACTCCGCCACAGCCTTCTGGAGGAGCGCCATCGAGAGATTCGGCCGCGCGAAAGTGAGTGGGTACCGGAGTTGAGCGAGATCGTTGATTTCTCCGCCACTGTAGACCACCCTGTTGAGCTCCGCCCGAACCGAGTAATTGAGGGGGTTTAGTTCAGGACCCCCGCTTAAATACTCCATCTTTTCCAGGTACTCAACGTTCTTCCATTCCAAGTAGGCGAAAGTTTTTCCAACGCCCTTCGATTAAATGTGTTGTCACCCAATCCTGTAGCAGTACAAAGTTTC